TAGCTTAGCTTAGCGTACCTTAGCTTAGCTTAGCTTAGCCTAGCCTAGCTAAGTATAGCTTAGCTTAGCTTAGCTTATATTAGCTTGGCGTAGCTTAGCTTAGTTTATATCATTTTAGCTTATCTTAGCTTAGCTTAGCTATCTTAGCTTAGCTTAGCTTAGCTGATGCTGCTTTCCTAGGGGCTCCAACTCCTAGGTAGGGTCGCACTGGGATAATGGTTTCAATGCAATTCGCCGGTTTCACAGCAAAGCTTCGCTTGAGCCAGTCGAGCCAGGCCACGCTGCAATGTTTAGGCGGTCTATGTTCAGCATGGTTAAGGTCGTCAACCACCTGCCAGAAGATATAGTTGATTGTCGGAGTGTGAAAAATTCACATCGTAGGCTCCAACGCACAGCTAAGGCAGCTACATCAGCTCGGCTGCCGGATTGGCAGCACATGTTTCGCGGAGATTTGTACGCACAGTTTCACTTGGATTACTGTTTCATGCTGTTGTGAGGGTTGCTTCAATGGTGAATTTTAGACTTCAGAACAGACATTGCACCGCATAGATTGCACCACGTCGAGTGCACCGCCGAGATCGCACCCCATATAACAACATACACTGCACAACATAAGGTTGCACAACATGTATTGCATCACACATGTTGCATGAAACTGATACCAACTTTCAAAATGAATATGACCAACGCTCAGGGGAGAACCACATTTTGAAAAACAGCGAAAGTCCGTGAAACTGCTACAAAATGTTGATACGAACTTGCGCGGCTCAACGGCGACAAAATATGTTGAAAACCGCCCGCCCTCCATCCGTGAAGCCAATTGTTGGAGTATTTTTGAACATTCCCCCTGTAGAGGGACAGGCCGACTTAACTACAATAATTCTTCAGAAATGGGAGTTCAACAACAACCCATTCGGGGATGGACAGAACCCCCTTTAGTAAAACGTGGTTTAGAGAAAACGACCTGAGGCCCAAACCTGGCGGGCGCGAGCCTGGAAAATAACGGCCACGGCGCCCTCTCGAGAACCGAAAACGGACAATTCACTAATCGACGTGTCACTGTTGGGGGTTCTGTCCACCCCCGACCCATCTGCCGCCAGACTGGTCGGCTCTGGTCGCTCCTTGTGCATCGAGGCCGAAGCCGACGAAGAGAACCGTGGGCCGCAGCCGTCCCCCGCAGAGCGAGGCGCAGACGTCGAGAGCGAGCTGCCCCAAGCGGGCGCCCCTGCCGGGTGCGCGTCCCTCCGCGCGGCCGCAGCGGACCACTGAGCATGCCTGAGCCTCCCTTCGAAACCCTTGAAGGGCCGCAGCGGCAGATGGCTACTGGGCCTGACCACCTGCAAAATGCCCTCGAGGGCCTCACGATGCCCAGACGGACGCAAGTGATCAGGCTCCGGAAGCAAGGCACGGGAAGCGGAGCCAACCTCAGCTCGGAAGGGGCAGGGAGGTGGCCAGGCGATCGAAAGCAGGTTGGGTGGCGGGGCCGCGGTGGACAGGAGTAAGAGGTAGGCCGGGTCAGCCAGGTCGAGCGAGTCTGTGGGCCCCGCCTGTTCGCATCCTCGCGGCGGTGGACAAACCTCCCTTTAGTAAACCTCCCTTTAGTGAAAACGGCCTGGGTTCGAAACTGACGGACCTGGACCCGCAAAAATGACGGCCGCGACGCCCTCTCGCGAACCGAAAACGGCCAATTCGCTAATCGACGCGTCAGGGCAGGAGGTCTATCGACCTCCGATCCTCCCCCGAAACATAACAACCAATTCGGGTACGACCTGATAGTGGGGTTGTAGCGCGCTCCGCCCAGCGAACGGAAGACGCCCGCGCGCGGCCCAACGTCCGACGACCCCGCGACGGACAACCTGCGCAGGCCGCGCAGGGGCAAGAGCGACGAAGCCTCCAAGGATCGGGGAGACGTAAGACCCGGGTACGGGGGACTCGGAAATCCCCGACGAGGTCGTCAAAAAAATGACGAGGCCGAGCCTGCATTTTGACGAGGCCTCCCGCTGCAGACATCCCACGAAACTCCTCCTCGTCAAAATCCGAGGCGCGGTCGTCAAAAAACGATGGCGAACCCGAGTCCTGGCAGACCCGGGTCTTACGCTCCCCCGAAAGGAGCGCGGCGAAGACGCAGCACATGCACCGCGCCGACACGGCACCACCACTCTCACTCGCACCCCGCGTGGCGCTCACGCGAGGTCGGCACTTCGCCCGCCCTCGCGCAGCCCCGCTCTCGGCGGGCCGGCGCGCGAGGGGGGAGGGAGGAGGAGGAGGCGGGGGAGGATAGAGAGAGAGCAGGAGGGGAGGGAGGAGGAGGACGAGGAGAGGCCGAGGACGAGGGAATGACGGGAAGGAGGAGGAGGAGGAGGAGGAGGTGGGAGGAGGGGGGAGGGAGGAAGAACGAGGGAGAGGGGGAGCGAAACGCGGGCGGCGGGCGGACGACCGGCGAGCGTCTCCACCTCGGCGGCGCCCTCCGTCGCCTTCTGCGCCGCCGGGCTCGCGGGTCCTTGGGGAGCCGGCGGGGGAAGGGGGGGGGGAAAGGGAGGAGGGACGGGGAGGAGGAGGACACGTGATGGAGGGAGGGAGGAGGGGGCGACGATGGAGGGAGAACGAGGGAGGCAGGGAGGGAGGAAGAAGGGGGAGGGAGGGATGGAGAGTAGGCAGGAGGTCAAGGACGAGGGCGACGAGGGAGAGAACAGGGACAGGCTATCCGACTTAGTCGCTTGAGAAGCCAGTTGCCCTCTCTTCCCTGACCGTCACGGAGACCGCGGACGAAATGTGCCGAAATGTGCCCGACCACGACGAAGATGCCACCTTGCCCCTTGAGTAGAGCAGGACGATCCATCTTTAGCACCACCTCCGCGACGACTGCGGAAAAGAAATGACAGGCCGATACTTCAGGCAGTGACTCCATTCAGCATATTTCCAGCAACCGATGCGCCAACGAACGTGATACCGAGGCCATAACCTGAAGCGACGAAGTTGAACCGAGGGAGACTCGATGAGGCCCACTGCAGCACCAAGAGCAGCACTGGTCATCGGGCAACCCCAAATTACCTCCAGCAAAGTACAGCTCCAAAACGGGAGCGTCGACTCAAAGGCACAGCCTCCTTGCTTCAGCCCACCTCGCAGACCGCCTGAACACGCCAGCGGAGCCCAGCAACAGCTGGATCATGTCCCTGCGAAGCGAAAGCCAGCAGGCAAACAGGGAGGCTTCTAGCACGGCCAAAGGAGGCCCTGAGGCCAGGCCACGAGGCCCCGAGAGAAGCCGAGGTGCTGCTTCAGAGAAGAAGGCCCGCGTCTCGGCCGCAGGGGGTGGCGGTGACTCGCCATGTACGGCTTCGAGAATTAAAAACTTTTTGATTCGCGGGTCGAGAGCGCACCTCTTCCGGTCGAAGCGAAGCGGGCCGCACGAAGCTTGAATTAACAGAGGGGGGACAGAAGGAGAGGCCTCACGTCAAGGCCACGAGGATTAAAAACACATAAGCGAGCGAGTGAATTGTCGGACTGATGGGCTCCGCTGGCGCGAATTTCTTTCGAGCCGCGCAGGTGTGGACCAGGGCGGGCAGACGTCAGTGCGAGGAACTTCTGGGAGAGCCAGGCGGGGCCCTGCCGGGGGGCGGGCCTTCGCGGCGTCGCTCGGGTGGACAGGCTAGCCGAAGGGCAGCAGCAAGCCAGGGGCGATCGAGGGCTGCAGGATGGTGGCCCTAGAAAGGGGCACCTAAACTCGGGGGCGCTCGGGAGGGGGAGCGTCCAGGAGGGGGGGGGCGCAAATCATGGCCCGAGGCAAGTGCGCGACCCAGTGGGGGCCACGTGACGCGTTGGAAGAAAAGGGGGCAGTGAAATCTGGGAGGATATCGCAGCCACGGCCAGGATATCCACATCCCTAGTCGACACCCCCCTCTTGGCTGCGAGGGGGGGTCTATCCAGGTCCGAAGACTAGGGAACACAGGTACTGGGACCCGAAGGAGCAGCGGATGTGGATACACGCATACATACATACATGCAAACATACATACATACAGACAGACAGACAGACAGACAGACAGACAGACGGACGGACGGACGGACAGAAAGACAGACAGACAGACAGACAGGCAGGCAGGCAGGCAGGCAGGCAGGCAGGCAGGCAGGCAGGCACACACACACACACACACATACATACATACATACATACATACATACATACATACATACATACATACATACATACATACATACATGCATGCATGCATGCATGCATGCATGCATGCATGCATGCATGCATGCATACATACATACATACATACACACACATAAATACACACATACATACACACATACATACACACATACATACATCCATCCATCCATACATACACACACATACCTACCTACCTACCTACCTACCTACCTACATACATACATACATACATACATGCGTACATACGTACATTCGTACATACGTACATACGTACATACGTACATACGTACATACATACATACATACACACATACATACATACCTACATACCTACATACCTACATACCTACATACCTACATACCTACATACCTACATACCTACATGCATATATATATATATATATACATACATGCATGGATACATACGTACATACATACATACACACATACATACATATATACATGCATACATACATACATACATACACACATACACACATACACACATACACACACATACATACATACATACATACATACATACATACATACATACATGCATGCATGCATGCATGCATGCATACGTACATACGTACATACGTACGTACGTACATACGTACATACGTACATACATACATACATACATACATACATACATACATGCATGCATGCATACATACATACACACATTACAGGCAGACGGCAGGCGTACATACATACATACATACATACATACATACAGACAGACAGACAGACAGACAGACAGACATACATACATACATGCCTACCTGCCTACCTATCTACCTACCTACCTGCATACATACATTCATACATACATACATACATACATACATACACACATTAACCATCGCGCGCGCTTCGCGCGCGCTCAGGTTCTAGCAGGCCCCAGGCCTTCTAGTTCACTGCTCCACTGAAGTAAGTGGACCACATATGGTTTGAGCGGGAAGTAAAGTGCCCACAACGCTGAACGCATTATGGGCAGTGAGAGATCCATGCATGTCAATCCACCTTATGGAAGGCTTTCGGGGAAGATGGCTGCGTAGGGGGGCGGAGGCCTGATGAATCGGGTTCCCCAAAAGCCTTCTGCGAACATGGGTTTGGGGGGCGTCTTGGGGAGCCTGTTGGGGCGTGTCGGCGTCGTCGTCGTAATGTCGTCGTCTTCGTCTTCGTAGTCTCGTCGTCTTCGTCGTCGTCGGTTCAACAGGGCACTTGGGGCACCTTTGTGCGAAACGATCCGCGGAGGGCCGCGAGAAGGCGATCAGTCATGCTCCCAAGCAACTTCCCAAACAACTCTCCGGTAGCGCGATCGTACTTCGGAACCTCCGGAGACTCTCGGGCCCATGATGAACCATGTTCCCGGAAAGCTTCTAGGAACATGATGTGTTGGGGTGCGTTGGGGGGCCTCTTTTGCGTTCCCTGGGGGCCACTTGGGGCCTCTTGGGGCTTCCTAGGGGGCCTCACGGGGCTTCGTGGGAGCCTCTTGGTGGCCTCCGGGGGCCTACTGGGGGCCTCTAGGGCCAGAGACCTCGGAATATCGGTTCGCGGTCCCCCTCTTGGGGCGCTCTTGGGGCGCACTTGGGTCGTCTGCGGAGCCTCCTGGACCGCCTCTTCGCGGCCTCGCGGGCCGTCTTGGAGCGATCTGAAGGGCCTCCGAGGCCGCTTAAGTCACGCAGCACCCAGAAGCCGCAACAGCGACTCCCCCCCAAGGGGTTTGCGGTGCGGCGTAAGCCAAAGAATCTTCCCGCACTGTCCCAACGCCAATGCCAACATGGCGTTAGAACCCACGGGGAAAAAAATAATCCTTTCTGTGCCAAATGCAACAGGGCCTGCAGGGGGGGGGGCAGCTCTTCGCTTCTCCATGCATCTGTCCTTCTCTTCCCTCCTCCCCCCCGAGCTCACAAGACGCCCAAGACAGGCAACCAAGGCCGCCAAGATGGCCAACAACGCCTCCGAAACGGCCTAAGATGGCTCCAAATCGGCCCAGGGTGGCCTCAAACGGCCCACGACGCCCCCCAAAAGTCCCAAGAGAGCCACAAGAGAACCCCCAGTAAGGCCCGAAGAGGTGAATGCGAAAGTCTTCGGCGTCTTCACCTGTTCGGGCTCCCTTCTGCTCCAGACGGTCCTAAAGGTATCCTCTATATGGCCCCAAGACTGCCCCCAAATTGCACAAGAATCCTCCAAGACGGCCTCAAGGCAGCCCAAGAAAGCCCGTAGACGACGCAGGGCGGCCTTGGAGAGCCCATCGACGGCCCAAATACGTCCCATCGACGACCGCAAGAGACCCTCCAACTCAGACAGTCAAGAGGGCCCCAAGACGGCCCCAGAGATCCTCAAACCAGTGCAAGAGGGCCCAAGAGGGCTGGCCCAAAAAGGCCCGAAAGTCCCCTACAACTGCCTCACGAAAGCCCCAGACGGCCCAAACACCGCCCAAATCTGCTTCTGGGAAGCTCCTCAAAAAGAAAAGACGGAAGATGACACGTGTGACGGCTGTCCTGATCCTGCCTCGCCGCATCGTCATCGTCATCATCATCGTCATCATCATCGTCGTCATCATCATCATCATCATCATCATCATCATCATCATCATCAGCATCATCATCATCAGCATCATCATCATCAGCAGCAGCATCATCATCAGCAGCAACAGCAGCAGAAGCAGCAGCAGCAGCAGCGACATCCGGATCAGCATCAGCATCAGCAGCATCATCACACGTATCACCACCATCACCATCACCATCACCATCGATACCAAAAACAACAACACCATCGTCAACATCATCATCAGCAGCATCGTCGTCGTCATCCTCATCATCAGTATCACCCTCCTCATCAGCATGATCATCATCCTCATCAGCAGCATCATGAGCATCGTCAGCATTATCACCAGCATCATCATCAGCACCATCGCATAATCATCACCAGTATCAGCATCATCAGCATCATCATCATGATCGTCACCATCATCATGATCATCCTCATCCTTCTGCTCCTGGCCCCCCTTCATCATCATCGTCATCAACATCATCATCAGCATCGTCACCATCGTCATCAACATCCTCAGCCTCGCCACCATCGTCATCATCATCATCCTCCACGCCACTACCACCATCAACATCACCATGACAGTCATAACCATCATCATCACCACCATCAGGATCTGATCAATCCCACTCAGCACCCAGTCCTGATCCTCATCTCATCATCCTAAGATCACTCTCATCATCATCCTTATCATAGTTCATCCTCGTTTCCTCCTCCTCCTCCTCCTCCTCCTCCCCCTCTTCCTAAGCATCCTCATCCTC